GTTTACACATGTCATATCTGGATTAATCTATCATTCAGTTCCTCCTAATTTAAAATAACATTTCAGATAACCACAATGACATTCTTCATAGGACAACATGATACCACTTTTTCCATTCATGTGTATTGTGCCTTGATTATATCTGCAGTATGATTCTTACTAGGAAAAACTCCCATTTCAGATATGTACAATCCACTTACTAGTCTAAATTTAAATTTTAAATATCCAAAATAAAAATAAAAACATCCCAGATATCCATAATGTAATTTTTAAATATCCAAAATAAAAAAAAAATCAGTTTTGTCTAGTAAAAATGTCCTTATGGATCCACAATGGGCATTACAATTAGAGAAGATGCAACTTTAGATATCCACAATTAGAATTATGACTAGCAACAATACAACTGCAGAGATCCACAAAAGTATTCAGAGTTAGATTAATTAAATTAAAGATATACTTTATTAATCCCTGAGGGGAAATTCAGTTTTTGCACATGCATTAAATGGAGAGATGGCCCAGTGAGGGGGGCTGCCCATGGACAGACGCAGAGAGCAGTTGGAGGTTCTGTGCCTTGCTCAAGGGCACCTCAGCAGTGCCCAGGAGGCAAACTGGCACCTCTCCAGCTACCAGTCCACACTATATACTTGGTCCAGACGGGGACTTGAATCAGCGACCCAGTTCACGTCCCCGTCCGGACCAAATATGGAGTGTGGACTTATTATAGACATTTATTTATATTTATAAGTATGTCTGATATTGTTTTTCTGTTTTGTATATTTGAAATTAACATCATGACTGTAGATGTCTAATGTTGTAGTTTTCCCAGTAAGAATTCTGTTGCAAATATCCAGAATCTTCTATCTGGATACCAAAATACAGTTGTGGATATCAGAAATTAAGATGAATGACAAAAGTTACGTAAGTATGACATTGTGGATATCTAAAATGACACTTGTGGATCTAAGAATGTAATTGTGGATATCTGAAATGTTCTTTTTGACCAGGAATCTGAATTACAGATATCTGTAGTATTTATCCAGTCTAGAGATTAAATGTTAAAATGGCCATTTTAAAGGACTTGAAGATATTATAAATTAAGTTTTGACTAGTGCAATCAATGTTGTAGATAACTTGAAATACAGATACTGATATCGACAATTTAAGTCCTGCTAGTGGCAAAGTAAAGTTTATTGTAGATAAATGCAATTGTTCCAACATTACAGGTGTCACAAAAGTAATTCTAGATATCTTAAATCCAGTTCTTACTATTTAAAATTAAGTAATTGATAAGTAAAAATGTTACTCCAAATATCTAGAGTTTCATGTCAGCCATCTGAAATACAATTGTAACTTGTAAAAGTAATATTGGCACAAGAAAAAAAATTGGGATATTTACAGTTGCTTTCATTACTAGTCAGAATTTAATTTTAGTCATCAAAAAAAGAGATTTCCACTATTCAAAATGTCTTTGTAGATGTCTTCAATGACATACCTATGACAAGCCATAGGTTTTCTTTTTTAATTGTCTGTTTTAAGTGTTGAGACATAGATATATTGATTGGTTGATTAAACTATATTAATCATCAACACATCGCCAGCGTACGATTAGAGAATTCAACGGCATTGTCACCACTCGCTGACATTTTTATTATAAATGATCAATCAAGACATTTTACAGATGAGTCAATAGTTAAATAATGGTATGTCACAACTGTGCTTCTTTGTTTTTGCATTCACTCAGGTTAACCAACTAGTCTGTGATTTGTTTCATCTCTGCAGTTCGACAGTTGTCATGTGACCTTGTCTCATTGTGTTTCTTTTCTGTCTCTGCATGATGAAGCAATTGAACGTTACATGAGGCAGTCAAAAATGGAGCTGAACAAGGTGGGATCAAAGTTTTGGGTTTCTATGAATATACTCTGCATCCACACATGACGTAAAATACAATAGCCTGATTTAGGAAGCAGTTTGGTTAAATGCATGTTCTCAGTGAATTCAGGTATTGAATATATTTTCAGCTATTATAATCAGACACTTATCCTCTCCTCAGCGCCTGACAGATTTGAGTGACGAGTCAAGATGTGAGTATCCATAACCTAAAACATGAAAAGCAATTTACAGAGTTGTTTTTAAGTTGTATATTTATTCATTTGATTGCTCTGATATTTCTTCCCTTGCAGCCCAGGACATAACAACAGACTCTCAGGTAAATTTAGTGTTTATTTCAACAATTCTGTCTTCAATGTCTTGTACATCTCAAATTCATTATTGTTTTGTTTTTTGTTTTTGTTTTTTTTTCTTGTTTTTTTTTTTTTCTTCCCAACAGTTAAACTTGACGCTTCAATCCGGTGGAGCTGATGAAACTTGTGCTTCCAACCTGTCTGTGTCTGTGGAGGATGATGGTGAGGAAGCAATAGGCAAATGGTTTTGAGCTATTTCCAGAAATTGAAATGAAAAGGTGTCTAATTTAAGGTGACGTTTCTTCTCCCTTTTTGCGCCCTACAGTGACAGCTAGAAGTGACACGACTCACCTGACTGTGAGCTCGTCGGATGCGAGTCAGAGAACCATTTTTGAGGTGGAGGTCCAGCCTGAGGACCAAGATGAGGAGCTGGAAATGACTCTGAGAAGCCAAGGCAGCTCTTTGGTGGAGCTCTACCCCAGCATGATCAGTCGTATAGGGAGGGCCTGGCACCGGCAGCATGTCTCAGATGCAGCTGACTCGGTGCTGAGGAGGTACCACAGATGGCGACAGCAGTCAAACAGAAGCAATCTCAGCAACACCTTCATCGTCACACTGAAACACAACAGAAACCCGAAAAACACAACGCTGCTGAATGAGGGCAGCCCCGTCAGAAGGCAGTTCCTGGGGCCTGAGACCACCCCTCGGTCTCCGCTGCAGATGTTAAGTAATATGCAGGATTGGCAAACGCAGCAGCCATCTCCTGGGAGGGGGAGAAGAGAGGAGCACCAGTCTGTCCTCGTGATGGACCTCTCTGGTCCCTCCAAGCCAAGAGAGGGTTCGCTAAATGAGACCTTCACTATGTCTTAAGTATCCCAGCCGGGAGAGCAGCCCTCCACTTACACGCTCAGCCCTTCACGACCTTGCTATCCCACCGCAAAAGCATCCTTGGACCCTTCCCTCAGGTCTAAAAGGCTTTCTCTCACTGCACACTCCCCGCAGACCAATGGCTGCTTCACATATGCATCTGAAAGCACCGCTGCAAGAGAACGACCAGACATCTACAACTCCCCAGTCAGGCAGAGTCCCTTACAGGCAAGGATGATGACCAGCCTCAGCAGATCACCTCGTGCCTTTTCAAGAAGCCCAAAAGCACCCTCTTCCGAAAGCTTTTCCAGAGAGCCTACAAGGCCCAGATTAATCTCCACCCCTCCACAAAAGCTAGCTGTGCCAGAGAGGATGCTTTACCCTCAAGACTCCCACCTTTCCCTTTACACACAGCTTCGTTCTCCTCAGTCAGCCACACCAGCAGGAGGTTGTCACAGGCTCAGGCGTCACCTTTCCTTTGACTCCTCCCTGCCGTCCATCCGCATCTCCTACTCCCCAAAAAAGCTTGACGAGGACTTTCTGAAGCTCTACCACAAGTTTGTCTGCCAGAGCAAATCATCTTTCTTTAATGGGCATCCCTGCCGCCTCTGTGCCAGAAGCTCTGAGGCCAGCAGAGGCCCCTCTTCCTCAGCTCTGGCAGCTCTTGCCTTGTCGCCCCATCGCTCCCTCCTGAGAAAACGCCACAGGGAGTTGGACTGGCGGAGCCACCCCCAGTCCAAACGCTCCAGGGATGAGTACTGCACGTACTCCCCAGGGTCTAAACGCCACGGGAGAGAGATGCTGAGGCGTTGTCTCTCTGCTTCTGAATATGAACATGATAGCCTCTCCTATAACTCCATGAAACACAGCAACAACCTGCAGCGCTCAGTAGATGCACATCAGGAATCTTGGATGAGTCGGCACCGCCATGTGTCTGCGGCTGATTTCTCTGGCATGGGTGAGCCTCATCTATAAAACACTGTTACTGTAAAACTTGAATCAAAAGCCTAGTCCCAAGTAAACACCCAGTCCTTTTAACTAGCCTGGTGTGGCTACACATTTTGATCAGTAATGGCTGGTTGGTCTTGTTGCCAAACAGTTCATTTTTATTAAGTTCTTTAGATGTATAGAACCAGGTTGTTGGCAACCCACCTGAGCTAATGTTAGTTAGCTGCTTAGGTCACAAATCCAAATCTGAATGTTTTAACAGAGCTATTGCTTGAAGTTTTACGGTATGCTCCCTAAGTCTTTGTCATTTCTGCCTTTAAATAAAGCAATTTGTAAATGTTGAAATATTGTATCATACTGTAGATTCCTTTTCCAATTATTATGCTTCATTCAACAGGAAGTTCACTTGAGAGCAGAATGGCCAGTGGCTCCTCCCCCAGGTGATTATAATAAATCCCTATGTTCACTGTTTGGTTTTTTTTGCCTCTGAACATTCATTTGTTCTCATAATCTTCTTTTCCTCCCCGTGGGCAGAAAAAGGTGGTGATCAGGAAAACACCGGCCCGCCCGCTGAAGAACGAAAAATATTGTGATGCAGGAGAAGTCAGTGCAGCTTTTTAAACTTTCTGACACATAGTGGTGAAAGTCTTATGGTAGTGTGCAAATGATGAATTAAAACCAAAAGCATTTTTAATGTGAGCTCAGGAAACTGCATCACTAAACTAAAACTGCTGATGTTAAATTTTTAGCTGTTCATGTGTCTTTGTTTTCCATCCAAGTTCAAGTTTGTTTGGATGTTTTAAATGTTTCGTCCGAAGTATTGTCCAAACCATCTGTTAGAATAATTGTGGTTTATACTCTTGTATGCTCTCTGAATCTTCTTGTATGATGCATCATTACCTAAGTTATTACAACCTCATGTTTATTCCTTGTTATATCTGTTGATTATTAAAATAAAAATGTCATTGTCAAAATGCAGTTTCTGAAAGAAAAAACAAGCACTTGTTACCATTGCAGTAACTTTATTATTTATTTTCCATTATATTCATGTACAGTTGAAAGTCTAGAAAACAAAATATCCAGCAGGCAGACCCAAAACAAAACAGCATCATGGTTAATTTTAGATAAAGATAGAAAAGTAAACATGACAGGAAAATAAGACATTTTAACTTTTTGGTCACAAGCCTTGTGCGCTTTTCTGACTTGGCAAACTCTACCTAATGCTCCCGTTTTAAGGCTAGGAATGTGAAAACGTGAATCTTATTTAAAGACTCCTCAAAATACATTTACATGGTAACGTTTAAAAAAACAAAAAGCATCAGCACTGTGCAGTAAGACATGCACTTGGAATCACACCTTTGTGACATCAGGAAATAACTGACCACATCACTGCTGCAAAGTGAGACTAACTACTGGAGGACTTTAACAGTGACATTTTTAGCTTAGAGCGATAGTTCAGATTTTTTGAAGTGGGGCTGAATGAGGTACTTATCAATAATCAGTGTATTACGTACAGTAGATGTTGATCAGCGCGCCTCTAGTTTGGAGAAGCAGACAAGAGTAGCCCACGGAAAGTACTGCTGTGGCTGGGCAAAACTTGTCTGCTCTTTTTCAAAGCCAGGTTCCATTGACAGAAACGGCCATTTTACCTTGCTGAACTTGAGTTGCTGATCTACTGCTACCTCAATTAGTTCGTTTGTTTGTGCTATTGTGTGACTGGGGTTTTAAAGGGTCAGTTTGGATGCACTTCAGTCTCACAATAACACAAATAAATGACCAATTGAAGCAGTGGCAGACCAGCAACTCCCATGTTCAGTGAGGTAAAATTGTATCCAAAAAAAAGTATCATTTGCTGTAGGTAATACACTGACTATGGATAAGTACCCCACACAAACCTACTTCCAAAACTCCAAACCCTTTAAGTGACAGAATCTAAGCAGGATAATAATTCTTTGTACAGAAAGCAGATGCTGTGTATTCAACACATCTCTTGGTGTCCCAGACAGCAGTATTGAAATGCCCAACCACTTCTTTTCCAGTCTACAGAGAATTTTTTTCCGTGTTTATCAGCTGTGGGAGCTTGCAGTGAGCCCACAGTGCTGCTGCTTCTGCTGCTGTAACAATGGTTGGTCATGGCGTTACCACTCCAGCTCCACTGGATATTTCCCAGTCAGACAGGCAGTGCAGTGGCCCACTCTCTTACTGGACTTGTTACTGGAGCTGATCACCTCGTCCTTCTGGAAGGAGGCGATGCCCTCCTGAACGGCTGATACCAGGCCCTCCACGGTCAGATACTGAACACTGGCAGCACCTAGGCAACAGTTCAAGTGTTAATTGAGGTTCACTGAACTGACTATAAAACCATAATGAAGCTGGACGATGGCACACTGACTTCATATTTTTATTGTGACATGAAGTTTGTCAAAGAACTGTACAGCTATTTTGAACACTCAGTGAGATGAACTATTATAGTATTCACCAATGTATCCAGCAATGTCTTGAAACTCGGGCTTGTTAGCGATGAGTTCCTCCTTGGTTGGAATATTGATCCCCATGTAGCACGGGTATCTGATCGGTGGAGAGGCAACCCTGATATGGACCTGTTGAGAAAATATAGGTCAGAATCCATGTTGTGGAAAATTCTACTTTCTACTCCCTCTCAGTCATCATTTATGACCCACTAGGAGTGTGTGGCGGTGGAGAGACTGCCTGTATTTTCTTATTTTGTATCGAGGACTGACAATTGGTCAACCTGTAATATTTTTCCCCTGGGATTTGGTTGTGGAGGTGGTACAGACGGCAGGCTTGTGACTGAATTGGCAACCTATAAACATTTAGAAGGGTTTTGTTTTCCCCGGTGCTGCTCTAATTAATTTTGAACTTTTAATGTGATTGATCAATCAATCACCGGCTGAGCTGAATCAGATGGATCCTGACACTTCCTCTCTCGTTAACAATAAAGTCACTAGATGATGGTTTGAACAGTGAGCTCACTCATTAAATATGCTGCCTTTATTTGGCATGTAGCGACAGATATTAAGCCTTATATTTTAAAAAAGTATAATAACTTTACTGCAGGTGATGCTGGGCATCTCTACTGTAAAACTCTGCAGGAATACTATATATTAGACAAAAGCAATATTAAAAAATGACTAAAAAAAGTACATGTAATTTTGTGCAGTTTTCTTTCTACTCTCCCGTCCTATTTATCATCTCTGGACCCCTCAAAATTATCCTGCAACCCTTGGTGGGGGCCACGATCCCCACTATTAAAACACTGTCACCACATATACAAGAGTATGTGACAACAAACCTCAGTTGCACCAGCTTCCTTCAGCAGTTTTATAATGGGGGAGATGGTGTTGCCTCTGACGATGGAGTCATCAATCAGCACCACTCTTTTCCCAGCAAAGTTGTCCGTCAAAGCCCCAAACTTCTTGGCAACTCCCAGCTGCCTCAAGCGGGTGTTTGGCTGAATAAATGTTCTCCCAACGTAGCGGTTCTTACACAGAACCTCTATATATGGCAGCCCAGACTGTGACAGGAGGACAGGAAGAGGACAGTGGTTCATCAGGAGGAGGGGGTATTACAGCATTTCTATACAGAGCTGGAGCAGACAGCTTGTAGACAGACCTGCTGAGCGTAGCCCAGGGCAGCAGGGGTCGCAGACTCTGGCACAGTGCTGACCACGTCTGCTTCTGTTGGCGCCTCGATGGCTAACTGCCGACCACAGCGCTGCCTGACAGTGTAGACCATCTGCCCTGAAGTACAGTGGAATAAAATACTGAACGTGCAACACTTTCACTTTGACACAGAGAGCCAAGGGACAGTTCACCCCTGAATAAAAAAATAGCAGGGATTTGGGGTGAGCTGTCCCTTTAAGATCAGTGTGGTAGAAAGGATGCTCCATAATAAACATTCAAACCTTCAAAAATGGAGTCTGGTCTGGCGAAGTAAACATATTCAAATATGCAGAAGGCAGGGAGGTCTCCCTCAGGGCGAGGGACAACACTCAGAGACTTGACTCCGTGCTTGGATATCTGGACTATCTCTCCTGGTAACACCTCTCTGTAATACCTGAGAAACAGAAAGGACATGAATATGGTAATCAGCCACAACACTTCCATTATAATGCAGAAGATATATGTGGGGGGAAAAACTAACTTGGCACCGATGGACTGAAAGCTGCAGGACTCTGATGACACAACCCAACCCTCGGTGTCCTCCTCTTCAGCTGACCAAAGGTACAAAGACTGATGTTAATCATTCACCAGTTTACACATCTGACCTCTGGCGAAACATGGTCAGGCTTGAGCAATGATAAGCTCTCGTGAGTACTCATAGTAATCAGCAGTAGAAGTCAGAAGTCAGTAGAGGATAAACATTTGAATACCTGAACTGTGCAGTTTAGAGATGGGAACAAGCCGTCCGATGCAGAGGGGGCGATTTCCGTACGGGTCGCGCACAGCATAGATAACATCTTTAAACATCACCAACAGTGAGTAGGATGTTGGGGTCTCGGTCATCAGATTCTTGATTCTAAAATACAAAATTACCACGAAAAATAAAACAAAAACTAGTGTTAAAAAAGTGTAGAAGAAAAAAAGGTTAATATTTACGAGGCATTAAGTCATAATCAGACCTGGCAACCCAATCTGGTGCATCCTGCTCCTCCATAGGTGGAGTCAGTGCCAGCAGTTGGGTGATGAGCTCGCTGTCTGAGCTGGTGGAGAGGCCCACACCGTGACGCATGACCTGCACAGCACATTTACAATGACAAGAACAAAGTTATTACACACAAAATCATAAATAGATGAATAGATGTTAAGCACACTGTATACAGAGATCTGGTTTGTCAACATTTGCATCAGAGTACCCCGGACAGGCCATTGATATGCACATGGCTCACTCAGTGAAGTCAGGGGGCCATCTTCACCTTTTTCCGCAGGGCATGAGCATTAACAAGCTCCCCATTGTGTGCCACGGCAATCCTGCCATGCAGTGTATCCACAACAAAGGGCTGGCAGTTCTGAAGCTCTGAAATCCCAGTAGTTGAATAGCGTGTGTGACAAATGCCGAGGTTACCATAGCGCAGTTTCAGAAGAGCCTCGGGTGGGAAAGCTGTGCTCACTAATCCCATTCCCTAAAAACATAACATGGCAAAGGAGAACTCAGTGAGAGATGTCTTCAGTTACACAATCTGCAGAAATGATAGTAAAGTAAACAGTAATGTGCAGCTGTCATGTTGTAGAGTGGAAAACCAGGTCGCTATCTGAGTGTGATAAAGCTTTACAACAACCAGCACAGCCACAAACAAACATAGTAATGAGGTCAATGTAATTGTGTATTTTTGTGTACATGGAAATGACCACTTTATTATGGTGTACCTATTCAACCCAGTAATGTAGCAGCAAACAACTTCTTGCTATGTAAAGATATATTGGAGTAAAGTGGGGCAGAGAATTAAGTCACACTTCCTTTGTGTGTGTGTGTGTTGTAATCTGATCTTATCTGTTTTTTGCTGTGATAGACCGGCAACACATGCAAGTCTCTGCGTGTGTATCCCACTGGCTAGCTACTCGCCACAGCCGTGCGCTGCACTTATACAGCGGTCACCACTGATAATGCTGCCCTGACCCATGTTGGCGGGACGGCGTCACTGCGGAAACATAACGCCCACCCTTTGTCCCCCCAAACTAGCAGTGTTAGCGTCCAGCTGCTAACTGCTAGCTCAGCCACCTCCATGTTGAGAGCTGTGTGCAGGCAATCATAGAGTGTGTTTACATGGACATGGATGACCTATTTATGAGTCTTATCTCTGTTATGATATGGTGTTGACATGCTCAAACACAGACAGGATATTCTAAAAGCCCAAACACAAACAGTTTAGTCATGTCCAGTGTTGGAAGTGTAACACGTTAATGTAAGTCCACAGATTTTCGCAGTAACTACACATGTAACTAATTACTTTTTCAAATAAATAACAGTTACTGAAATTTCAATGGGCTCGTCATTCTAGCGGACAATTTACCAATTTTTTTTTTCCCTGTTATGATCTCATCCATAGCATTGTGCGGCTCAGGTGAGCAGCGTTCAGTCTCTCCGTCTTGCGTGTGTACGTTTGGGAGACTGAGAAAGACACAGAGGTGAGGAAGAGAAGGTGGAACGTTGACTATTGCACGCCATGTTTATGTAAGTTGTTACATGTTCTCCCCGTGTCAGCGTGGGTTTCCTCCAGGTGCTCCAGCTTCCTCCCACAATCCAAAGACATGCAGGTTAATTGGTGACTCTAAATTGTCCGTAGGTGTGAATGTGAGTGTGAATGGTTGTCTGTCTCTATGTGTCAGCCCTGTGATAGTCTGGTGACCTGTCCTGGGTGAACCCTGCCTCTCGCCCAATGTCAGCTGGGATAGGCTCCAGCACCCCACGACCCCTAACAGGATAAGTGGTTACTGAAAATGAATGATCTGGAAATACAGACATATATTCCTCCTTGAGATCAAGGACAAAATATACTTATAGTTTTGAGTTGTGTGTGTGTGTGTGCAGGATTTGAATTTCTGGTCATGTTTAAGGATAAACCTCAGTGTGTTTATGTTTTTGTGTAGAACTTCTATCACTTTTATTTTATTAGGCCTATTTTGATAAGAAATTACTGTCAAATGTCTGAGATACAGTTGCTGTTTCATATGACTCACTTGACTTGCCAAGAGTCCTGAATTCCTGTCTCAGCTACATTAAACAGGCCTTTAACATTACATGTTTTATTGTTCCACTGACAGTACTTTTCATCGGTGATAATGGCAACAATCACAGATAAAAATATGACAACTGGCATGTCCCACTTGTGCCACAGCAACACTAAAATAATAAAGCTATGTGTTCATTGATAAAAGAACTGAAGCAGATATTTATATAATGCTAAAGCTACTTTTTCTAGCAACAAACTACTTTTTTATGCAGCACTTGATTCAGTAATTCAGTTGCTTTTGAGGCAAGTAACTGATTACTAACAGATCTGCTCTGACTGTCATGTCGAGCTTCTTTAATGAAAAGCAGCTAAAAAGTTTCCTGTATTGAGTATTGTGAGTTATATAGTCTAACTGTAAAAGTGGCTTCTACCATTGTTACCTTGTGGGTTGTGTATGTAGGCGGACTGGCTCCATTACTTGTGACAATCCCGGCACTTTCCTGACCCCTGAGAAGACACACACAATCACATGTAAATCACAACAGTGTAAATTTATCAGTGGAAAGTGAGTTTAAAAACGAATGATCTTTCAGTGTCTTTGCTGCAAGACTAAACATGAATAAACTTGTTTGATTCTCAGAGCTGGGTATGAGCCTTGAGGCAAACCAAACTGGTTTGTTTCTGGCAAAGTGAATCAGGAATGAGGAGGAGAAAATAAAAAAAAAAAAACAGAAGAGTCTGCTTCTCGGCTGTGGAGCTGCCATTTACGGAGAGTCGCCTTGCTGCAGCTTCAGCCTATATACCAAGCTGCTTCTCAGATTACAGTTGGTCCCGCCCCCTCGGCACACAGCTTAAGCCAGTGGTGAGGCTGCTTTTCAGCATGGAGGCGTTGCTTTCAGGCTTAACCGCCTGGTTGCCTAGGGAACCGGGCAGCAGAGACAGACGGATTGGGGAAAAGAAAGCGTTTCCAGGTCAGCTCAAACATGGAGAGAGGAGCAGAGAGACAAAGAGGAGGTGATAGGGAGGTGGCAGAGGAAAAAGGCTCGGTGGAGAGGCAGTGGGGGGAGGCAGAGGTGCTGGCTCTCATGTCAGTGTGGGACGAGGTGGGAGCTCAGCACGTAGCTGAGAGCAGAACCACATTCGAGTTGATTTCAGAGCGTCTGAGGAGGCTCAGTGTTGTGCGCAGCTGGTGGGAGTGTCAGGCCAAGTGCAGAAGCCTGGGACTTCAGAGCAGGAAGCCTGACGCAGCAGCAGGCACTTCAGCAAACTACAGCCCAGGAGTGGATGGAAGGCCAGTGGAGAGCTGGGAGGAAGAGGTGGAAGATGTGGGTAATCAAAGAGGAGTCTACCCTTCCTCAGTCACTATCCCAATGCAGGAAGGTAAATGTAGGTTCAACCCCAACTGTTGCGCTGACGATCACGACATATGACAACGCTCAACACGTTTTAAACAACTGACAGATCAGATAAACAAGCATGTCAGTCAAACTAGTTTAACTTCAACTCAACTCCAACTTACTTTTTAAAATCAAAACTGAGTCAAAGATAACACAGTGTGTGCATGTGTGTGCAGGTATCAAGAGTCTCATCCATCGGGCTCTCCCTTACGCTGCGAGCGTGGCTGAGGAGGGGGGCCGCCACTGGACGGACGACGAGGTGCGGGCACTGTTGTGCGTCTGGGCTGACCGGCGCATTCGAGAGCGCTTGAAGTGCACACTACGCAACAAATCAATCTTCCAGGAGATGGCCCGTCAGATGCAGAGAAACTTTGGGGTGGTGCGCAACTGGAAACAGTGTCGGACTAAATACAAGAACTTGAAATACGATTACAAGACTGCTAAAAGCGCACACGCTGTTGGAGGCAGCGCCGCAGGAGGCCCGGGGAAGTACATGAAGTTCTTCGATGAGGTGGAAGCCATCCTGCTGGACCGGGGACTGGAAAATGGGACCATGGAGATGCAGAAGAGGTTGTATGATGGAGAAACGGGAGCAGGGAGGCTGCAGACAACGGCCTCAGAAAATGAGGTTGTCATTGAAATTGATGATGGTATGTTTTCTGTCTGTAGTGCATACATTAGTTTTGTATTCAAGGCCAACAGAGCAGTCAAATGTTCTTCTCCTTTTTTTATTTCCAGATGACAACAGTGATGATTATGACATGGACGGAGACGTGGAAGCAAAATGGAGAGCAACAGGTATGCAACATAAATAAACACAACAGTATGTGTTATCTTTTCTTTCCCTAATCTATTTCTGTTCACTCCAGACGCCCATCTGACACTCACAGATCCGTCCAGCTCTGACCAGTTCCACGTGGTCACTGTGTCGGACACAGGCCGAAACTGGAGCGACCAGGAGGTGCGAGCGCTCATCCAAGTCTGGTCGGACGAGCGTGTGTGCAGGCAGCTGGAGAGCTCAACTAGAAAGAGAGACATCTTTGTCCAGATCTCCAACAGGTTGATGCAGCAGGGCATTGAACGCGACTGGAAGCAGTGCCACACCAAGTACAAAAACCTCAAGTACCTTTACCGTTCCCTTCAAAGAGGAAAGAGCGACGAAGCCGACCCCAGGCGCCTTATGAGGTTCTATGACGAGGTGGATGCCATTATGAATCGCAAAACTAACGGCTCGTCACATGACACAGCAGCTGTAGATCAACAAGCAGATTCAAGCAGACTTGAGGTGTTGGAGGGCTGTGAGGAGAACGAACGCGTAGATGTCTATTTGAAAAAGACGAACACAGTGACCACAGGGGCGGGAGCAGCCGAGGACAAAACCTGTAGTTCTGATTCTGTCTCGTCTATGTGCCTCGATGGGACAGCAAGCAATGAAGAGCTGAGGCTGCATGAAGACCAACAGCACACATTAATGAGTGAGCCAAACATCGTTATTTTTTTATGTGTAGTGAGCAGGTGTTTGATGAACACACGTAGCTTTCTACTGTCGATGACCACAATCCATTCATGAAATCTACATAAGCAGATTCATAGCAGCCAAAAACAAAGCTTTTTTTGGACTTTACATCTCTTGTGTTTTCAGAAGTTCTGTCATCAAGTCACAAAATCTAAATATTAAATCACTTAAATCTAATTTATGATCTCCAAAACTTTTATATGGTTTTATAATTACTACTTTTTCTGCAGAGAGTAATTCAAGAGTAGAATATTATTGTTAAAGGTGTTTCCATATCAGATATCACTGATTCGTACGATGCTCGACTATGATTACCCCCCTCAACTTTCCCGCCACTCAGCTTTCACATTTGTAACACTGTTGCTCTGGGCGCCATCATCAGCAGGAACTGTCAGAGCAGTGAGGCAAAGCTCTGCTCCCGACAGGGGATGAGTCGCTGCTGTCGGGAGCAGATCTCTCCACCTCCCGCCGGTGCTCTGACTACAGGTTGAAGGCAGCAGCGACGCTGAATCTGGGTCTGTCCATGGTCGACTGCGCTGCACTGTTAAATTGAGACTGTTTCATAACCTCCTTGCGTTAAGCTGTATGCTTCCGTGTTTCGGTACAGTTGACGTTGAACCAAGTAGACTAAGGCATGCATCGGCGTACGATGCCTGGATATGGTACGCAGTGTTAACACTAATCAAATGAACTGCACTCTGGGGTCAAGTGTACTCAGAACCAGGGCCCGGTCACTCATGTGAAAGCCTCCTTAAATGCATGTACTGGAAGAGGAGAGGTCAATCTAATAATGTGGACAAATAGAGACAAAACTATCCCAATGGCCTGATTAGCAATTGTGATTTTAATGGTTTGTAATTCAGGCAAACTGACCCTTTAAAAACTCAATTTAAAAGGTATGCTATGCAGGATTGTTGGTTACTGTTTGCAAACATTGTTGCCAGCGAAGCCTGCTGTTTACGGTCTGGCACCTGGTTGCTTCAGTTTCACGGGGGTTACACGGCCATAAATGTCCAAAGCACAGAAAATAAGAAGAGAATAAGAAAATACAAGCAAAGGGCAGAGTCTCAGCAGAAAAATACAACGCCACACACACTTCTAGTGGTAGAAGTGATAGTGTATCTTGAAGAAAATTCTTGAAATAAATAGGACGTTAACAACCTTTTCCAAATAGCTAGAATAAAAACACTGCATTTTTCCCCTGTTAAAGAACGGCCTGTTGTGTTTTAACTGCTGCTGCTGTTTGCAGGCGCCTCTGAAGCTCGGGTAAAGAGAGAGGACGTCTCTTCAGCAAACAGAAGGATGAAGAGGAAAGCTGTGGATCAAGGTTTGAAATGTGTCTCCGTCTGTAATCACTTAGCGCGTGTTGCATGATGTCCACTATTGACTGAAGCCTTTGTAATTGCTGACTCAGTCCCATGATGTGCCACAGAACCTCATGATCATATTATGGATAAGGGCATGGTTGTAACTGCTAACAAGAGGCACAACTCATGCTGGCGTCTGCTGTCAGACCAAGAGAACAAGAAACTCTGCTCATGCATGATGATTTAAAATGTTGGATTAGTGTTGCTTTTTACATATAACAGCTTTCAGATGATGTCAGGATAATAATCTGATTTTAAAGCCACCTTTGTTCCCTTTTCAGACCCCACAGTCCAGACAGCAATTAAAAAGCTGGACACTGGCACTGATAAGGTGGAGGCCCAGTGTAAAGAGGAGCAGGATCCCATCCCGATAATGAAGATCAATTCAGTCTGTTCAATCGCCTCACCCGACCCATCCCCAGAGAGAGAGGTAATACCTACTAATCCCATGTCATAAAACATTGTGCAATCAAGGTGAACTGAAGAAATAACAGGGCGTAAGAGTCCAGAGGAGACATGATGCTGCTGTGCTGGAAGAAACTTTGTAATCTCACAGATTACACAGATTATTCCTGCCTGTTAGGAGAGCATGAGTTTCATCTTTTAAAGCTACAACCTCTAGTCAATAAATCAATTAGTTTAGTGACAGAAAATCAATCAACTATTTCAATAACGGTCACTTTTCAAGCAAAAAAAGTCACAATTTGATGCAATTAAACAAGCAATTTGAATATCTGTTACTGGGCTATTGTTGGGGTTAATGCTGCAGCAGATTAATCAATAATTAAAGGAGCAGTGTGTAAGATTTAGGGGGATTCAGTGGCAGGAGGTTTTTACAGGGAGTCAAATTATCTGCAGAGGTCTCTTCCTCCTGGAAATAACATATTAGAATTCTTAATTTAGGTGGTGTTCCCCTTTAATTTGGGGTAACTGTAATGCATTATTACTTTTTGGTATTTGTTGTTGTTGTTGCTCATAAAACCCTCTTTTCTTAACTGTCAGTGTTCCCCAGTTCTCCTGGGCTGTGGTTAATAAGCAGGCTACAACACTTGTCTCCTCCTCTTCGTTTAATTTTCTGCAAGACAGTACTACACATCCCAACTTAGTGGTACAGCAACTTCTCTTCACTGTAAAGCCCAAAGCACTCTCTCTCTCTCTCATGTATCACTCATACCTGTCCCCACAAAACAAGCACAGGTAGGAACCAATTAGCTCAAAACCAAGGAAACACAATGACTCCACTTAAACACTGAGCACGAAAATACAAATGAAATATACAAAGTCCTATACGTGACAACAAAATAATAATTTACCAGTAGCTCAATATTGCATAATCTGTTAGTGCTGAAATATAAATAATGTACCCATTTATAAATAACGCAGTAACTTATCCCTTTGATACCTGGAGTTTTAGTGCTGCTTTCAGATGCACCTTTGAATCCTGAGCAAATTGGTTTGGTTTCTTTTGAAAACAAGGGGGAAAAGGCACTAAGCAGTTTGGTAAGAAATGTCCTATGAATTGCAGAAAAAAAAATAGACATTGAATGTTAATTCTAAAAACAAACAAAAAAAATGGGAGAAAAGACAAAAAGCTAGGGAAAAATATATTTATAATTACTGTAATTTTTACAATTTAAAATTATGTCACAAAATTATTATTTTTCAGCACTCTTCGGGTGTTTTTGTTTATTTTTAACTTACTTTCTTTTTTTACTAATTTTCTTGTATTTAATTTTCTCTTTTTACTCATTTCTTTTTCAGATTTTTTGGTTAATTCCTTCTTTCATTGTTCATTGCCTTCTTCCTATGTTTTTTTTTAATAATAAGATATGGAAAAAATGTGCACAAAACTGTATTTATAATTATCAGAAATATATTTTTAAAATTATGTTACAAATTCGTTATTATTTTTAAGCATTTTTCAGGTTTCATTTTTATTATTTATTTACAAATTTTCAGGGGGGTTTTTTTGTAACTATTTTTTCGGCCATTTCTTCCTAAGTTGCTCATTGCCTCCTTCCCAAAGAAATCAAGTCCTTTGCTCATGTTTCAAAGGGTTAAGTAGTAAAAAAAGAATCCCAAATTATAACGTGTGCAGTAATTATGGTCACATAAGGACTCTGTAGCTGCAGACTAATTGTTGTCACATTTTTGTTCTCAGCACAGTGCCACAGCAAAACAATGCTGCTTCCAGTCAGATTGGATTGAACAGTCATGCAGATACTTGTGACAAAACATGCAAAACTTTTTTTTTTAGTGTTAAGTTAAATTTCAAACAAAATAAAAAGCTGTTTTTAGCCCACTTTAGGAGAACTCTTTGGGCTTGATATCTGCACAGTAGCTTTTGGTTGCACGGTTGGTGCCGGACACACCATGACAGTTAAAGAGGACACACACACACATACATACACACCTTTCTGTAAACTCACCTGTGCTGTAACGCCACCAGCCCCAGGGTCAAGACCTGAGCCACCTCCAGCTGTGTGGGCCACTCTCCGGCCGCCACACACCCGAACACGCCGCACTCCTCCCCGATACCGGACTCCTCAAACTCCATCCGGCCGCCGTGTGCCTCAGTCCTCAGTTAACCTGGGCGGTCTCGTGCGCTCTGATAGTATTGACCGAGCACGTGCAGCGAGCGTTGACGATAACGTACTGCGTGGCTCGTTAAAACAACACAAACTCAGCTGGCATTGTTGAAGCGGCCGTGAAATAACGACTCCAGGACAAAACTCAGTGACACGTGAAAAGAAAAGCAGCTGTAAGCGACGCTGCTGCTGTTATCATACATTAAACATCAAACATATTGAAGTGACGAAACACACGTGGTATGTTTCGATAAGGAGGCTAATCTGAATCTGATTAATCGATCAGCTCGAGCGGCCGCTTGTTTTCTCTTGCTGAAGTTTCCTGATAAATCAATCTTCTCGTCAAAGGGAAAACGGGGCCAGTTTTGTGGTTAAACTCCAAAAAAAAGTTCTTCTTGCAACTATTTGGAGTTGGGGCATCTTCCCCTCACGTGGTGACTAATGCGCTGCTCTGATTGGCTGTCAGAACGAGCGGGGGGATGTGATTGGTTGTCAGAGCACGTAAGACAGAGTCCACTTCCCTCTTGTGCTGCCTGCACGCCTCCTGCTGCCTCTTCATCCTGCGACTTTCTAACAGTTGCGTGTCACTTTTCACTTCTTGTTTCAGGACTGTCGGTTGGTAAAGAACCCCAACATGGCCTCCACACCAGGTACGGCACAAATATTAATGCATATCTCAGAATATATGATAAACGTGCAGGGTTTTAATGTGCGTACTTTCCCTGTTTTGTGTGTGTGCGCATGTGTTCTCTAGAGTTGAACATCGGCCAGAAGCTGAATGAGGGAAAGACAAAGCAGATTTTCGAGATCGTGGACCAGCCCGGACTGGTTCTGGTCCAGTCTAAAGACCAGATCACAGCTGGGAATGCGGTGAGGAAAGACCAGATGGAGGGAAAGGCTGCCATCGCCAACAAAACGACGAGCTGCATATTCAAGCTGCTTCAGGAATCTGGTGAGGACCCAGTCAAGTTATTATAGATCCATTCAAAGGTGCCAGCCAGGTAATGTGTGCAGCAGTTGTGTCATAACGTTGCAGCCCTGAGGCAACTTTCCCACACGCTGAAAAAGTCAGAGGAGTTTCATTACTATATGATTTAGGGATTTGATTTTATAAGCACTCCCTCACACACAACTTTTTCTCCCCTTATAACTTAATTTCACTGGATTCATATGCAGCCAAACTGCAAATCTTTGACCTATTTACCTTTTCTCATACCCTTGGTAGTTACCTTAAAATTTACCTGTAAAATCCTAGTCCCAATTAAACACTCAGTCCCTTTACTGGCCCGATGTGGCTCCACATTTTGACAAATAAGCCCATCTCAATTACACACCCGATCTGTTTGCCAAGTAGTTTATTATGTAGAAGTTCTCTGGATGTATAAACCAGAGTGTTGGCTACCAACTTGAGTTAGCTGTTTGGATCACACAATCAAATACAGAAGTTTAAACTTGTATGGATGTGCTACACACGACACCAGCTTGATTAGTTTAAGTTCACTTTCCTGAAGCCATGAGCACCAGCCTAATTTGAAGTAATACAAGTAATATTCACACTGGTTCAAATAAACAATTTGATCGTATATCACATCTTTGCTGAGCAACAGTTTCTTGTAAAAAGAATTCAAGGCCTGTTCCTAATATAAGACCATTGTGTTCAGTGATTTAAGCAAATAATAGCCCGGGTTAGTAATTAAAGTTTAACGGTACATCCATTAAATCTCAGAAAATAGTTTTTAAAAAGCCATTTAAAATGATTTAAATCCCAAACTGACACATTCAAATGGTTTGTTTTTGTCTGACAAACCCAGCTTACAAGACACTAGGCAACAACTGGGATGGTCACATGACAAGTCATGACATACAGTTCCACAAATTCAAAAGGAAAACATGTAGAAGCGCTAAATTTATATTACAAAAGGGTCTTATTACGATGGATACATTATTCTCCTCCATGAATTATCTATAAATCTTTCTAAAGCAAAAATATCCTCAGTAAAAAGGTAGGGCTGCAACTATTAGTCGACTAATCGATGACTAATCAACTATTAAAATAATGTGACTATTTTAGTAGTCGACTAATCAGTTTGAGTCATTTTTCATAGAAAAGTACTATGAAAGTACCCCAAAATACTCTTATTGCAGCTTCTTCCTTTCAAATATTGGCAGCTTTACACACTCTCCTATGACGGTGAACTAAAACCCTTTGGCGTGAGTACGAAACAAGACATTAGATGACGTCATTTTGGGGTTTGGGAGAGACAGACTGAAAACAGAAGCCGCCCACTCAAACACTGTGCATATATCAGTTTAATGCAAGCTTTCAGTCATTGTGACCTTCTTCAGGCATACAAGACAAGTGAATGCAGCTGTACATAAGGGTTCAGGCAGTAACATCACTTGATTGCAAAATGCCAGACACCTGTGTCAAACATGGCAAAGGCTAGAAAAGCATCCTCAACACATTTTTCGATAAAATGATCAGTCGACTAATTGAAGAAATAATCGACAGATTAGTCGACATTGAAAATAATCGTTAGTTGCAGCCCTATAAAGAGCCAACACAACTTTACCTTCAGATAACCAAAACAAATCGGCGTTCCTCAACTAAATTGTCAAACAAATGATTTCTCAGGTCACTGTACTCTGGGCAATAGAACACAAAATGAAACAGCAACCCCAAAATAAAAGTAAAAAGGGAATACCTTCATACCATCAAGGCAAGCTACCTGTTGGTAACTGAACACATTTTCCCTTTCTGTAAATTTAATCTAACATAAGGTTCAGTAAAAACTTTTTTATAAGGCTTGTAGTCATTTTGGGTGGGACACAGAGGACATGCCCCCCTCTATATTTAGAATATGTGCATTTGTCTCCTACACTAAAACATAGAAACAAGCAGACACATTTTTAAAAAATTTTTTAATAATATTAAAGACATTGACACCATCAATTGATGCAGGAAAGGCACAGATTGGTGCATAAAAATTCTTTTTATGTCTTTTTTTTTAAGCATACATGATCCAACAAATGCTTTTGACTGAACACATGCATCACATGCAGAACCGACAGAGCCACATGGTAGTGATGACATGTGTACGGGGGGCATGGTGTGTGCATGTTCGTGACATTAGGCCCCAAAAATCCCAGATTCTCCCAAATGACTCTCCATCTTGCTTTCATTTAAAAGTAATTGGCTAAGTATAACCCAAATGCCACTCATGAGTGTGGTGATGGCTGTCTTGTGACTTGAAACTTTATAGTGCATAATTCAACAGAACGTGACCGACCACATCCTGCTCATTCAGTGTTCATTTCAGGGGCATGACAGAACGTGAAAATCTTTAAAGCACTGGTGTGTTGCAACATCTGTCTGTGATCCAAATGAACCCTCAGTGTTGAAATTAAAACATACTGAGGTTTAGTTGTGACTTAACTTTGTTCACAGCTCTTGAACCAATCGTGGTTTAGCTTTTGGTGCCTTAATGTGGGACTATGTAATAGTCTTAGGCTGATTTTAATGCCCCCTCTTTCTTCCAGGCATTAAGACTGCCTTTGTGAAGCAGCACTCGGACACAGCGTTCATCGCAGCCCACTGCGAGATGATTCCCATCGAGTGGGTTTGTCGCAGAGTCGCAACTGGATCATTCCTCAAGAGGAATCCAGGAGTCAAAGAAGGCTACCGCTTCTCCCCTCTGAAGATGGAGATGTTCTTCAAAGTGAGTCACGTTCACAAAGAGCTCTTAACTTAGCCTCAACATTTTTAGTGTTAGCTTAGGAGTGATCTAGGAAAGTTCTCAGAGCTGAGCAAGGTAGAGACAGAAACTTTTGCTTCAGTGAGGAGGTGAGTTGACCCCGTTGCTTAGCATGACGCATTCTTTTATTAACAGATGTGATTGGTCGTCACAGACACACCCCTTTGTGAGCCTGCAGGCTGGAAATGAAATGCTGACTGTGAGAGTGTTGTTAGTGTGATCACTCTGCTGAGCTCAGTTTACCAAATATCTTAGTGTTGTGATCATTTTATTTCTGGCATTGTAGTGTTAGGTGGGAAATGTGTGTGTATCCTTAATGACAGCAACCACACACATTAACCCGGCACCATCTAATCTGTAGCGTTTCATTTACTCACTGTCATCCAGCGTCTGGAGAATATTTCTCTGACCTCTTTGTGTTTCCACCATTTTCTCCTCTGATTAGTCCTCCTCCGTGCTCCTAATAGTCCTCTACCTTAGGAGCTCTTTTAAGGGTTAAGATGCTCTGTGAATAACTTATCTGTATAACAACCTAGTCTTAAATTTAAGGGAAATTCTAAGAAAGCCTCACAATTCTAGGAAGCTTTGTGAATACAGCTCCTGGCCTCCAATGTGTTATCTGTCTCTAAGTGCTGTACCTTCACTCAAAGTGTCAAAATCGCATCAATCCAAACGTACTGTGTTGCTCTCTGCTGCAGGATGATGCCAACAACGACCCCCAGTGGTCAGAGGAGCAGCTACTGGCGGCCAAATTCACTCTGGCCGGACTCACCATCGGTCAGTGCGAGGTGGACATCATGAATCGCAGCACTGTGGCCATCTTTGAGATTCTGGAGAAAGCCTGGGCCACTCAGAACTGCACGCTGGTGGATATGAAGGTAAACTGTGCAGCAGCACCCTCTGCTGGTTAATCTGACATCCAAGTGTGAACACTTTTTGTAGCTGCTTCACAACTTAGGATCATCTTCCTTGCTTATAGATCGATTTTGGTGTGAACGTAAAGACTCAAGAGATCGTCCTCGCCGATGTGATCGACAACGACTCATGGAGGCTGTGGCCGGCTGGAGATCGAAGCCAGCAGAAAGATAAGCAGGTCAGGACTTCTTCGGGTCCTGCTATTTTATTTTGATGCTTTAAGAATTAAGATTAAAGCTGAAATAACTTGTGTTCATCTCTTTGTAGGTGTACCGAGACTTGAAAGAAGTTACTCCTGAGGCGATGCAGATGGTGAAGAGGAACTTTGAGTGGGTCTCTGAAAGGGTCAAGGTACACTGAACCTATTGTCCCAATCTACTCTTTGTTCTTAATCAACATGTTATAACAGACACACAAAGTTCATTACAAACTATTATCTGAGCTTTGTTGCTCTCCAGTTGTGTCATTTTCAGTTTTTAAATATCAAAGACCCCCTTTTTTTTTTTTTTTTTGAGCAGTTTCGTGTAGGAACTATTTTCTTTCTACCAAACTACACCTGCCAACTGTATCACAGCGCAGAAGGAAGAATGCATCTACTCACAGATGAGAGACTTGTGCTCATGCTCGTGACAGTGTGAGATGTAAACATAAATAGCATCCTACTCGGCTTAGCTGTAACCTAGCTCAGTGGTGCTAGGTGAGCTAGTAGGAGATATCTGCTTCATTCTGTGTGGTGATACAAAAAGTTGAATCCAGGAGCAATTAAATGCACTTTTTCTCAATAAATACACCCAGGAGTTTTACTGCTATGACTTTATGTAGTCTGGTATGGCTAGTGTTAGCTCAGTATTGCTACGTAACCAACAGGGTTAACATATATTATTATTATCCAGTGTTTTTCACATGTGGCCACTGCTCACCTAATGTTGCATGGTCTCGCTTTAACCCTTTGAAAGCTGCAGCAACATCACTTTTCTTGTGCTGCTTTCAGGTGCCTTTCGCAAGTATTTAAACCTTTGAAACTTGAGCTAATTGGTGTGGTTTCTTTCAAAAACAGAGGAAAAAGGGTACTAAGCAATTTCATAAGAAATGAATTGCAAAAAAAATAGTAAACATTGAAAATTAATTTCTAAAAAATGGGTGAAAAGAAAAAAAACTTTGGAAAAATATATTTATAATTATAACTTCTACATTTTAAAATTTCATTTTTTTTAAAATTATGTTACTTTTGTGACATAATTTTAAAAAAATGAAATTTTAAAATAACTAACTAATAACTTACTAATTTTCTTGTTTTTAATTTTTTTTTTTTTTTTTTTATTTTTTTTTTTTTTTTTTTTTTTGGGGGGGGTCATTTCCTCTTTCGTTGTTCGCTGCCTTCCTCCCACATTTTAAAAAGAAATAAAGCCAATTTTCTCAGGTTTCAAAGAGTTAAGTAAACATATAAACTTGGACTTGCATGGAGCTAATGAGTGCTGTGTTGTGTCTCCAGCTGCTTCTGGAGCCCCAGGGCAGTGGCAGGGTGGTGGTTTTGATGGGCTCCACCTCAGACATGGCCCACTGTGAGAAAATCAAGAAGGCCTGCACCTCCTACGGGATCCCCTGCATCCTGAGAGTCACCTCTGCACACAAAGGTCCAGATGAGACACTCCGCATCAAAGCAGAATATGAAGGTGTGTATTTATATTTAATGCTCCCCTCCTGAAGGAGAGAGGATTTAGTTATCAAGTGTGTCATGATATCTGTATGCTTTTCCTCAGGTGACGGCGTACCCACTGTGTTTGTGGCCGTAGCTGGCAGAAGCAACGGCCTTGGTCCTGTGATGTCTGGGAACACGGCGTATCCCGTCATCAACTGCCCACCTCTCACTCCTGACTGGGGTGCACAAGATGTCTGGTCATCCCTGCGTATGCCGAGCGGTAAGCACAGCACTTCTCCTAAATCGTTTGCCACATGTGACTTTATTCATCAGAGTAACCGCTCCTTCATCGCTGACTTCTCCTGCAGGCCTTGGCTGCTCCACCATCCTCTCCCCTGAGGCTGCTGCTCAGTTTGCCGCGCAGATCTTCGGGCTGACCGACCACCTGGTGTGGTGCAAACTGAGGGCCTCCATGCTCAACACCTGGGCGTCTCTCAAACTGGCTGACAAGAAGTTACAGGCCTGCAGCCTCTGAAGTGGCTCAAGACCCCTTTGAGCCTAATGTTCTCTTTCAGGGCTCCGCTGTCTGTCAGTGTTTTTGTTTACCATGAAACCCATGAACTGTACGTTACATCTTCGTGTACTTTCCTTACGCACATAAATCATTCCATTAAAGAAGATCACTCAAAGCTTCTTAATTAAAGGCTTCTGTGGTTATTTAATCCCATTATAGCCCATATTCACAGGAGACATTCTGACGTCTCATAGCAGGAGAGGCACAGTAACTTTCAGTTTCAGGGTCCTGAGAGTGTGCATGCTGGCTCATGGCACAGCTTAGTGGGATACCTTAATGGCACTTAGCCATCATTAATAAAACACTAGTCCATACCCATTGAGTGCACAGTTGCCCACGTACAGTTTCACATGGTGTGTGTTTGGGATACAGGTCATAGGAAATTGCAGATTAAATAGTCAACTGAACCCATTAAGAAGAGCAATGTATTCAGACAGAGTGTTTGTGAATTTGATAGTACGATTGCTTTATTTAAAGTACAGTAGTACCATTGCCTATAGTGGGATAGTTAGTGGGCTAAAACTGTACATTAGTAGTTGAGGTAGCACGTTGAAAGGCAGATAGTTAAAGTGTTTATATGTTGTATTGACTTAAAAGTGGGGTGCACTGGTAGTTCACATGGGAAAGGTGTGGCTAGGCCTTGTCACAGTGGTGGGGGTTGGAATCCGGCCTTCGTTCTTTGCTGCATGTCTTCCTTGCTCTCTCTCTCCCACCCTTCCTGTCATGCTCCACTGTCTTGTCAAATCGATATGGCGGTTAGGCCTAGATAAGAAATGAGCTCTCTAGCACCCCCATTTTGTTTGATGGGGTCAATAATGGAGGGGTCCCCTCAGATTATGTGTGGTCATATGCCTACAAAGTTGCGTGGTGATGGGTGAAACCCTTGACATGTTATACACCTTTATGTGATGAGCCACGCCCTCCGCAATATTCATTGCCTTATAGAAGCTCAGTTTTAGTAAGTTTTCCAACTTTTGCCAAGAGGGAACTTTAGATATTGGTCCCTAGATTATGTTCACCCAGTTTCATGCAGATCGCTCAAACTTCCTAGGAAGAGATCCATTTGAAGTGTTTTTCAAAAAAATTCAAAATGGCGGAAAATCTATATAAGCGGAAGTTATGGGTTCTTGAGGCAAATTTGTTCCTCATGAGGAGAGGCATCTCTGTGCAAAGTTTCATGTCTCTGCGACATACGGGGCATGAGATATACCCATTCAAAGTTTGCCATTTCAGTGGTTGCTATAGCGCCCCCCTTTGGCCAGTTGATGTAATATTGCTTCATTCACATCCTCCCATGACCCTCTACCACTGTGCCAAATTTCACATGGATTGACCAAGTCAGTGAGGAGAAAAACGTGGAACAGGCACACACACACACAGACAGAGTTTTCATCATTATATAGTAAGATGTTTCACCTGTGCTTCCCCTGCTGTGACAAGTCAAAATGTCTGCCGTTAAACATAATAATAATAAACTTTATCTATATAGCACCTTTCATACAAGAAATGCAGCACAAAGAGCTTTACAATAAGCACAGAGTGCATCACATGAAAATAGACATAATGGACATAAAACACACCATAAATCATAAAATCAAGTAGAATTTTAAAAGAGTTGCAGCGTGAAGATTAAAAAGAGTTTTTAAAAAAAGGAGGCAAATCCTTAACAATGGAGTTAGCGATGTAGCTCCTCCCAGCCAATTTAGGGCTTTTTATACGGGAGGAGGAGCTTAATATCAGTTCTAAATGTAACAGGAAGTCAGTGCAGAGCAGCTCAGACTGGCCTGATGTGCTCTCTCCTCTTGGTGCTGGTTCATAGCCGAGCTGCAGAGTATTGAATGAGCTGAAGTCTCTCAGTGGTGTTTTTGGGAGGCCAGTAAAAGTGTGTTACAGTAGTTACAGCTTGGAATAAAGGCATGAATCTATTTTTCTGCATCTTTTTCATTTAGAGATGGTCGTACCTTGGCGATGTTTCTGAGGTGGAAAATGATGTGTTTGTCACTTTATTAATGTGGGACCTGAAGGTTAGATCTGACTCTAGGATCACACCAAGACTTGGAACCTCAGATTTAATCCAGGGAGTTAAATTCCCCAGATTATTAAGCAGCATTTATCTTTTTGTTTCAGGGCCTTCAAGCAGGATTTCAGTTTTGTCTTTGTTTAGCTAAGTCTTTTTCTGTACGCAGACTTTGAAAATGATCATATTTCACCTGAACCCATAGTTCAACATTTTGGGGTATACACCTATTCAGCAAAAAGTTGTGCTCTTTAAGGACATTTATGCTTCTTTTTTATTATTTCCAAAGTATAAAGCAATTCTTCTTTTAGCCTTTGAGCTTTGACAGTATCACAGTTTAGCTTCCAGCTTTTCTAGCAATGTATTTCAGCTCTTAGCTTGTGTAGGTAATACAGTTAAGCTTCCTGCCAGATTTTCAGATCGTTCAGGTGATCCACTTAAAATTTCTGCATTTTCAGCAGTTCTTCTGAATTGAATTGAGCTTTCAGCATTCACACACTTTCTACAGGAAGGTTTTTTACTGTGACTCCTTCACTTTGTTTCTCTAAAGTAATCAGACTCTCCAAACTAAATAGGTGTATTTTATTTTAATTGTATGGACACAATTGAAACCATTGAATCTTCAGCAGGATACAAATGATGGGATGTAATGCAGGAAGAGACATGAAATAATGGAATGCAGAAACCTTACATCTTATTTATAAATATATTTATTTATTTACATTTTTTACAAAATATATTATAGAATATATAATATTTTAATTTAATTTAATTTAATTTAATTTATTTTTTATTTAATTTAATAAATTAAATATATATATAATATAATTAAATGTATACATTTACATTTTATTATATTATATCATTTAATTAATTTTATGTTATTTTAGATTATATAATACAAGCTCAATAAAGTCACACACAGGTCAAGAGTAACACCTGAACATTATATTTTCAGTACTTCTTTTCTTTTAGTTAGCTGTGACCTCATAATTACAATAACTAAAGGAATTAATAATTATGCCCAAATCATGACGACACTTCCCTCAAGCGGGCAAGGAAAAACTCCCAAACTCACCCTTCACGGGGAGCTGGAAGAAACCTTGGGAAGGATCACACAAGAGGGAACCCCCTTCCAGAGATAGTTTAGTGTCTTATGGGCAGCATATCAAACAGAGGGAGTGATCTTTGTAAGTAATGACCACTGCGTCCTCCTCCTCTCTGGGTCACAGCAAACATTATACTTTACGTTATACTATACTCTGTGCAGGCGTTAATAAAGACCAACAAACCTCCTGATGACCTGATAATACCCTGATCCTTTGTCCCTCTGGCTCCGTCGTCCTGTGTTGTCCTCTGTTGGCCTCCATTGGCCTCCATTGGCCTCTGTCGTCCACCATGGCTCTGGTGGCCTGGCGCTGTACAAAAACAACAAAGTTTAGTTATGTTTTGCAACCCCGTAGCATCCTCAGTCAGACTCTACATGCCCCCAAATGCCAACTTCTCAATTTCAATCCTCATAAGTATCAGACCTAAAGTTTCTTGATTTACAATCAGCTGATCCTGAGTGTGAGTTACAACAGAAGAGCTTACCTGCACGTGAAGGTGCACCCTCAATCCAGGCTCGTCTTCATCCTTTTCCTCTGTGGAGGAGCTGCAGTCTGGATTTCTGCATACATTAAAACTTGTTTGAATCTCTTGAATCGTAAAGTCTCATGGGACAGACCGACAAAACAGGGATGTGATGCAACACCTACCTAATCGGACACTTTTCCTCTTTTCCTCAGAGGTCTGGTTTTGGCCAATGTCACCGGAGAGTTTTTTTTCCTTTTTCTGCTCTTCCTCTTCGGAGATGAGCAGTCTGGGTTCCTGCAAAGATTAAATGTTGTTTGAATATCTTGAATGCTACAGTAACAGCACAATCTCTTCACAACTGGGGAGTGACAAAATACAAACTTGTCGTTGATGTCTGGATTCTTGGCCTCGCTGGATGATGCCTGGTCCGAGTCGTGGTGCTTCTCGCTGGATGATGCCTGGTCCGAGTCGTGGTGGTGCTTCTCGCTGGATGATGCCTGGTCCAAGTCGTGGTGCTTCTCTGTGGGGGAAAAAAGTTTTAAAGTTTCACCAAAACCACCCGCAATTGTGTTTTTAACTGTGACTGAGACCCACTGAACAGGAGTCAAAGACGAGCTTACTTTTCACTTGTGTCTCAGACTCATCGTTTGGAGCCTTCTTTGAGTCACAAGACTGGCTCATCCTCCTCTTCTTCCTCTCTGGCGAGCTGCTGGATGGAGTTCTGCATGGATGAAATGTGTTTTAATGTCTTGAATTTGAATTAATTAATTTGAATTAATATGTACAAGGAAGTCGAATAACACGTACCTTAACCCAGTGTGTGAGGCTACAAAGGTCGCCCATGTCCTTTTTCTCTGAGGTTTAATTTCAGCCTCAGTGGACGGAGCTTCCGTTTGGGCCTCGCTTAAGAAATCCATCACCTTCGTCTTCCTCTTCTTCCTCTCCGGTGATCCAGTGCATGGAGTTCTGCATGGATGAAATGTGTTTGAATGTCTTGAATTTTAACAGTAAGCTTTAATAAGTACAGAAAAAATAAAAGAGCACGTACCTTAACCCAGTGTACGAGGCTTCAAATGTCACCCACGTCCTTTTTCTCTGAGGTTTAATTTCGGCCTCAGTGGACGGAGCTTCAGTTTGGGCCTCGCTTAAGAAATCCATCACCTTCGTCTTCCTCTCCGGTGATCCAGTGCATGGAGTTCTGCATGGATGAAATGTGTTTGAATGTCTTGAATTTTAACAGTTAGCTTCAATAAGTTCAGACAAATCAAAGAGCACGTACCTTAATCCACTGTAGGAAGCTACAAAAGTGGCCCACGACCTTTTCCTCTGAGGTTTTATTGTGGAGTCATGCAGCAGGCTCATCTTCCTTTTCTTCCTCTCCGGTGAGCCGCTGAACCCAGTGCGCAAGGCCACAAAGGTCGCCCACTTCCTTTTTCTCTGAGGCTTAGCTGTGGCCGTGCTGGACGAAGCCTCAGCTGGAGCCTCTTTGGCGGTTTCGTGTAACTCTGTTTGTGTCTCGATTAAATCCATCC